AGAAAGAAAGAAAGAAAGAAAGAAAGAAAGAAAGAAAGAAAGAAAGAGAGAATCCCAGAAGCAGAAAGACACATACGGTATATACTCACTTATACGTGGATATTAGACATATAATATAGGATAAACATACTAAAATCTGTACACCTAGAGAAGCTAAGCACTCAAAACGACAAACAGGATGGACATTGGAAGAAGGGGAAAACAGGAAACAGGTCCTTTGCCTACCACAAAGGGCCTCTGAAAGATGCCATCAGTGTATCAAAGCAGATGCTGAAACTCATAACCAAACTTTGGGCAGAGTGCAGGGAATCTTATGAAAGAAGGAGATAGAAAGACCTGGAGAGGACAGGAACGCCGCAAGGAGAGCAATAGAACCAAAAAATCTGGGCACTTGGATCTTTTCTGAGACTGATACTCCAACCAAGTACCATTCGTGGATATAACCTAGATAACTTAGAACCCCTGCTCAGATGTAGCCCATGGCAGCTCTGTCTCCAAGTGGGTTCCCTAGTAAGGGGAGCAGGGACTATCTCTGATATGAACTCAGTGGCTGGCTCTTTGATCACCTCCCCCTGAGGGGAGAGCAGCCTTGCCAGGCCACAGAGGAGGACAATGCAGCCAGTCCTGATGAGACCTGAGAAGCTAGGGTCAGATAGAAGGGGAGGAGGACCTCTCCTATCAGTGGACTTAGAGAGGGGCATGGGAGGAGATGAGGGAGAGAGGGTGGGATTGGGAGGGGACGAGGGAGGGGGCTACAGCTGGGATACAAAACGATAAACTGTAATTAATATAAAAAAATAAAAAATTAATTTAAAAGAAAGAAAGAAAGAAAGAAAGAGAGAAAGAAAGAAAGAAAGAAAGAAAGAAAGAAAGAAAGAAAGAAAGAAAGAAAGAAAAAGAAAGAAAGAAAGAACAAAGAAGTACACACAGCTTGGTTCTGAAAAGAAATTTGGGGTGCCGGTTCTTCTTGTGCCTGAATTACCCATCCGAGTTGGTCTTGCAAAAGTCAGTTTTGCTGTGCAGAGTTCCTTGGCTAAGAACGTTTTGACTTGGACATGAGAAGACCAGACAGATGTAAATGGTGGAAACATGCACCTCCTACAGGAGCTGCGAATGCTGGTTAATTAAAAACAAAAACAAAAACAAAACAAAACAAAGCAAAAAAAGCTAGGTCTTTCTTTCCTAGGACAGTTGGTGTGAGTTTCTTGGCTACACCAGATATGGTTGATTATATAGCTACCTTTTATAGAACTTTTATAGCAGCCTTGGCCCGCCATCATCATACTTATCAGCTATGACATTATCACTCCCAAAATACCTACCAGATCATTTTCCAGATTGGCCCTTCCACTGGCCTGTGGAAGAACTAAATCATTGGAGAGAGAAATCTCCATTTCTATAAATGCAAAAGTTCCTATGTTCCTAGCTGTTGGGGATAGTGGGAAGATTAACACGTATTTCCCATACATTACACACTGACATACCAGCAAAGGGACTGCACATCAAAGCTAAGTGTCCTGAAAATTTAATAAGACCAAAGTAGGTGACATGTTTGAATGCTGATTAAAATAGCTGGAGAGTCAGGGCAGCACCATGTTCCAGAGGCAGGATTCCTGCGTTCTGCTTCTAATATTCTGACTATGGCCAAAACCCCTTGCCCCTGATGCTTTTTCCTTGTTTTCAGGATGGAAAGAATAATATGGCCTATCCAATGGGCTTGTGAGGTTATCCAAAATAAAATATTAATGTTTCTTGTTGCACAGTGTCACATAATGATAGTCGGCTATCATTATTGTTAACTGTTGCGATTATGAGTGACCTAGAAGGATAGTTAGCAGCACAGGTTTCATTTCTTAGGTCCTTCAGATTTACATTTTATACGTGAGCTGCACATCAAGGCGAGGCAAGGGCTAAAGTACATTATTGCTGTAAGTCTAGGACTTCCATGAAGACAGGCATTATTGACTCTGTTGCCCATTGCTGATGGCCTCAGCTCCTGGAACACTTCTTGAATGACAATGTTATCTATGAGCATTCACTAAATGGCCAGGCAGACATTGGCTATTCCTCTCAGTGTTTTTGTGGTACTCAGTGACAATTTAATTTCTGACTTAGAATGTTTTCAATAATAATTTATATTTCAAATTATAGTACTGTATAATACAAGCAAAAATGTTGTTTAGAGTTTGGATATCATTTTTAAATGGGCTTGTTATAGTCTAGACATGAAATTTATAACATACCCAAAAACTAGCACTTTAAAAAAAAAAGGTAATGATGAGAAGATCTTTTTATAATTACCTGTACTCTGTGGTTATCTGGGCAGACAATAGCTGTTTTGTAGAGGGCTGTAGTGATTTTTAGAGAGCGCTGGTCTAAGTCTGCCATTCTTCCTTTACAGAGAACCTGGAGTTTTAGATTTCCCATGTCCTTTCAGACTTTAACCATGAAGAAATATCAGTGCCATGGTTAACTGACCCATAGTAACTGTAACTTAATTGGACTCAGAGAATGACTGGCTATTTTTGTCAAATCCATCATTTGAAAGATAAAGAATTTAGAGCCCAGAAAATGCTATATAGGCCCTTTTCAGTATGCTGTAAGTGAAGTTGGCTCAACAGTGGGCACATTCCATGTCAGGTGCTATACTAAATGCAAAGGTGACAGACATAGCATAGCACCTGCCTCTGAGGATTGGAACAATACTACAATTATACAGATCTGCAACAAGAGTGGAATGGAACATACACTGTAGGTGATATTCAGATTGCTATGACAACCCAAAGATGTCAGAGAAAAAAAAATCTGTTTTATAATAGTATGTATTAAGAAGACTTGTAAATGCAATATTAAGGTCACATTTAAATGCTGTTACTTGAAGCAGAATTGCAGAAAGCAGATGTGAAGCAGGAAAGGAGCAGTAGCTGCCATGGAGGAAAGGATGCAGAATGTAAGACACATATGACTCTGCTGGACAGTCAGTCCCAGGACAAGTAGAAATGAGTGATGCACTAGAACCCAGGCTGCCAAACTCAGATCAAATCTCACATTTCAAATGATTCTTTTGTTTGTTTGGGAACATTGTCTCACTACACAGCCCTGGCTGTCCATCCTGGAACTTCCTATGTCTATTCACAGGTATCTTTCTGCTTCTGCCAGGATCAAAGGCATGCACCACCACACCCGTCCCTCAAAGCATATTTTTATATATAAACAATTGAAATACCTAATCCCATTATAACTTTTTAAGCTATTTTCAAAGCCCCCAGAAAACAAAACAAAACACAGAAGTCAACAAAATTGGTTCTGTGACCACATGTGCCCATAAACTGGTAAGAAGGTGGCCTCTTTTTCAGCAGATGTCTGGAACCTTGTCTTGGGAATTGGGGAGCTGTTGTCCTGTGATAGTGTAGTCTGTGCAGAGGCTGGATTAGGGGATCTCTGGGTATCCAACAACAAGTGTATTGCCTCTCCCCAACTCCAGCCTGTCTTAAACACTGTCAGACCACAGCAGGGAAAACTCTGGTGTCCCCAAACCCCATGCAAAGCCCTAGGTCAGGGCACGGACATGGCAAAGGCTCTGTTTGACTCTGGAACTCTCCTCACTGAACAGCATCTTGTTCTGGAATTAAGGTCAATTAGGGAAACAAATGCTCGATGTGGGCCCCCAGATTCTCCTTCCCTTTCCTTTTTTCTCCTTTTCCATTACAGTGCTGTAATTCCAGGTTGAGCTTGTTAGCATAGTAACAACAGCAGCAGCTGTGTAGTGCTTTTAACCTGAGGTTTTAGCATACAGCTCAATGGTCACTGCTAGCCCCACAACACTATATTGTCGCATCACATACAAGAAATTTGCATGCAACGCTCAAAATGGTTACAGGTGTCTAAAATCACAGCGCTAATGCTGAGACTTGGATTCTGGTCTTCAGATGAGGAAATCCATCCTCTCGTTTTAACCACACAGGCTGATGCTAGCAGATATAAACAAAACCAATTTATGGAATCATGTAATCATGGAAGCCACATTTGTTTTTAATATGATACTATGTAACCCACATAGAGTAGGTAAAAACAAACAAACAAAAACAAAAACAAAACCCTCTTACCTTGTGCCATAGTTACCACCAACCAGCAGACCAGTAACCAGAAGGAGAAGTGGAGTCCGGGAGCCATGGCTTCTGCCCTAAATACTCACTGCTCTGGTCCCAGTGCTGCTTTAAAGGAGAGTGAGGGAGTGAGGGAGGGAGGGACGGAAGGTGGGAGGGAGGGAGTCACCAGCCTGACTCAGGCAGTTTGTATTTGCATAGTGGACCAAAACCGCCTGTACCTGTGGCCTGAGAGTTAAATATTCTCAAGGAAATAACCAGACAGTACTCATCAACCTGAAGTTTTATAATTCCAGACAAACACCATTCATCTCTCCTTCATTCCGGATGGAATGAAGTCACCTCATCTTCACTGTCCTTTCAGTTACAAACGTTCCCCCGCCCCCTTCACCGGCTTCTTTTTACTTGTATCTGTGGCTCTTCAGCTGCAAGGGAAGGTTCCTTCCCTTGCTTGTTTTTCTACTGCTGTGACAAAGCACCGTGACCAAAGCAACTTACAGATCAGTGGTTCTCATTCTTCCTAATGCTGTGACCCTTTGGTACTGTTCCTCATGTTGTAGTGACCTCCAACCAAACAATTATTATTGTTGTTACTTTGTAACTGTAATTTTGCTACTGTTATGAATCATACTGCAATAATATCCTAATGTGCAGGATATCTGACGTGTGACCCCTGTGAAAGGGTCTTTTGACCCCTAAAAGGGGTCACAACCGACAGGTTGAGAACCAGTTATAGAAGAAAAAGTTTATTTTGGGGGCTTACAGTTTCAGAGAGTGAGTCCATGACCACCACCATGGGGGAACATTGGAAGCAGACAGGCAGGCATGGTGCTGGAGCAGTATCTGAGAGGCTTCCTTCTCAGCCATAGGCCCGAGACAGGGAGAGAGGGTGAGCTAATGTGAATTGGTGTGGGCTTTTGAAACTTCAAAGCCTATCCGAAACGACACACCTCCTCCAACAAGGCCACACCTCCTAATCCTTCCCAAACAGTATCACCAACTCTAGGTCAAACATTCAATTCTATAATCCTATTAGGACCATTCTCAAAAAAACCCTCACAGAAAAGGACTTCCAGGGGGGCACTTAGCCTCTCATCACGTAGCTTGACTTCCTGGAGCAAAACATGAGGGAAGAGGAGAAGTAGAGGTTTCCTGACTTGTTTGAAGAGACTGCTGTAACAGTTGACCTGAAAGTATACATATAACTTCTGTAACAGTTGACCTGAAAGTATGATTCTTCTCTGCTTTGTGTCTGCCAATGAGGGAAAGGCCAGGGTTAGAAAAGTGTCTTTCCTTGAAGCTACTACAGTCACTGTTTAAACAAAACTGAAATCTGAGAGTATAACTATTGACTCTTCTTTCTAGACTTTCTTCAAGGTCACCAACTTGCTTGTAAGATGGATATGTGTCGTGGTCACTATTCCATTGCTGTGAAGAGACACCATGACTCTTGTCATAACATGTAAGGCAACTCTCACAAGGGAAAGCATTTAACTGGGGGCTGCCTTACAGTTTAAGAAGTTTAGCCCGTTATCATCATGGTGGGAAGCATGGGAGTGTGCAGGCAGACATTGGCACGCTGAGAGAATCAGTGAGAACTACACACTGATCTGTAGGTAGAGGTATCTGGGCTTGGCATGGGCGTTTGAAACCTCAAAGCCAACTACCAGTGACACACTTCCTCTAACAGTGTTGTTGCAAATCTCCTAATCCTTTTAATCCTTTCAAATGGTGACCCTCGGTGACTAAGTATTCAAATTTGTGAGCATATGGAGGCATTCTTACTCAAACCACCACAACATGATACACTATCCTGTGCCTGGATAGTCTCCTGATAGGGTTCTTTCCGTTGCAGAGAGTAACAGGAGGTGAGCACAAGTATTAAGAGCCTGGTTTTTGCTAGGGGAAAAAAAAAGAAACCTCTTTGAGAGGCTGAGGTGGAAGAAGGGCTTGAGCCCATGAGTTCTAGTCTAGCCTAGGCAACACAGTGAGTGAGGCCCTGCCTCAAAAAACAAACAGAAATATGTTTTCTTCTTATCAGTTCAGAGGCATGATCTTTGGAGAGGCGTTTGTTTTAGTTGGTGTTCTATCACTGTGGTAAGATACTTGAGAATCAATTTATATGGTATAAAGATTAATTTTGACTCATAGTTTCAGAAGCTCTTGTTCTTGGTCAGTTGTTTTTGAACCTGTGGTGAGAACATTATTGTAGGGGCACAAGCTGTTCATCACATGGTGACCAGGGACCCACGTGGGTGGTGCTGAGTTCCCAGTGTTCCCTTTAAGAGCACCACCCCAGTGATCTAGCTTCCATTCACTAGTCTTCATCTGGTAAAGGTTCCACCAACTGCTAGTGGTGCTCCAGGCTGGAGACCAAGGCTTTAACATAGGGGCATGTGGGGTCTATCAAAATCTGAACTATGGTAAGTATCTCCCACAGAGAACTATGAATAAGGGCATTGAAACAAAGCTCAAACTATTGTGCTAGCCTGTGAAAGGAAGTATTTGTGTGAGTGTGTGTTTTTAATTAAATATCATAATGTCAAGTCAGAATTTGTACTTTTAAGAGGCTGTGTTTGCTGAAACATCCAATCAGTCAAAAGCCTACATTTTGCTGGGCAGTGGTAGAGCATGTGTAGTCTTAGCACTCGGGAGGCAGAGGATCTCTGTGAATTAGAGCCCAGCCAGGCCCACAAAGCAAGGTCCAGGACAGCCAGGACTGCAGAGAGAAACCCTGTCTTGAAAAACAAACAAAACAAAACAGAACAAAAGCCTGCTTTGATCAGTGTTTTTCATCAGCACTTTAGAAAGATCAGGATTTAATCATAGTCTTGGGGCTTAAAGGGTGGCAACCGAGAGAGAGGCCACCGAGGATCAAAATGGATGTTTAGAAGGCAAAGAAACACAAATGAGAGAGCGGTCAATTTCTCAGGCTCGATTTTAGTCCTTGAAAAAGTTCTAGAACAACTTTTGTTTTGGGGCAATAGGGTCTTATTACATTGCCCAAGCTGGTCTTGAACTTTGGGCTCTGGCCATAATCCTGCCTCTTGGGTGACTGCAACTTAAATCTTGTGCTACCATGCTGCATGCCCAGGGTATGCCAGACCCTGTTTCAAGGGATCCGAATACAGACAAAAAAAAAAAAAAAACAAAAAAAAACAAAAACACCCATCACAGAGTTTATATCCCAGTGCTGTAAGATAACACAGGAAGATTAGGTATTAATAGATTAGTGTGTTAATAGATTAGGCATTGATAGATTAGGGTGTCCTGAAATATGAGCTACAGAAAAATGAAAATGCTCAAGGTAAGAAATATGAGGAGGCTGGAATTTTAATTCAAAGATGATATTTGAATGAAGACTCCAGGGAGGTGGGGAAGTCATGCATGTGGATGTTTGGAGCAAGAGTGATTCAGACAGATGGTGAAAAAGCCCTGAGGTAGAAGTAGGGTTTCATATAACATCTGCCAGCATGGAGATTGTTGTAGCCAGGCAGGAGACCGCCATCAGGGAGCGGTAAGGGAGTCCCAGGAGGCTGGCTCACTGTTGTGGGTGAAATGGAGAGCAACTGGAGGTTTTTACAGATAGTCCCAGCATGATCCTACTTGCACGTTACAAAGGTAACTCTGTCCATTGACTGGAGAGTAGACGGTCAGAGACAAGGTGGTCTGGTGAGAGCAGATGATCACAGTAGTCTTGAGGGAACCGTGGGGACTCCAGTTGAGGTGGTAGCGTTGGAGCTGTGGGGGATTCAAGGCTTGTGTTGGAGGCCAAGTTAAGAGGATTTCCTTGTAAATTGGACGTTGGGTGTGAGAAACCCTGAGGAGTAGTATAGTATCATGGCTCTTGGTCTGGGGGTTAGGGGATGAGAATATGGCTGAATTAAAACATGTCATTATACTGATGTGTTCATAAGTAATTGGGAGAATAAAAATATCTTGCCCAGGCATGGTAGCTTAAGCCTGTCAATCCAGCACTCAAGAGACTGAGGTAGGCAGATTGCCATGAGTTCAAGGCTAGCTTAGGTTACTTACTTAGTGAATTCAAGACCATGCTGGGCTACAGACTAAAACCTTGTTTTAAAAAAATAGCAGCAAAACCAAAAATGCCTTGTTCTGGAGAATACAATGTTACGTAAGAGAGTAAATGCTGAGAACATTATTCTTGGAGCAGTTACTGGTCTCCAGCCGTGTAGCGAGGGGCAAGTGGTCAGAAACTGGGGATTCAGACAAGTGCAGTTTGGGCCCTAAGAAGGATACACATTGCTGCCCAGTTGGATCCAGAACAGCTTTGTTCCTGCTAGGGGAGAGAAAGGACCAGGTGACAGATGGTCCCACGTGTGGGACTGTTTCTGTTGACCCACAAGGGTACTGGGTTCTTTAGCTTGCCTCGTTTGCCCACCTGCGACTCTCGTGTAATAAACACGTGTTGTGAGAGAGTTTGGAAGTGCTAGCCGGGTGGCAGAGCTAGTTCTGTGCCTATGATGGGCCTTTTCTCAAAGTTTCTCTCACAGTTTTGGAAGGGACGGAAGTGGAGGGTGGGAGAGGCAGAGAACACGTTGCTCAACCTACTATGGCAATCGACATGGGAATAGATGTCACAGCCAAGTTGAGCTCACATATCTCTTCTTTTGCTCTGGACTCTGGGATAAAGTATGCGTAGCATGGTATGAATCTGACCTTTTTCTAATGGATAGAAGCAAATCAGCTTTTAGCCTCAGTGCTGGGAGCCCTCGGGAAGTAGATACGAGATAATGTGTGGCATGTCAATGAATGGAGCAGTGGGAATGATCTGTGCCTGTTCATGGGTAATTATGTGCCTTGCCATTACAGGGAAGGACAGAGAACAAGATGGTAGCTTTACCCAAGGTTCGTCAGTGCTCTCTTGTACCCTGTGTCTTGGATTTGGACAAGGGGGATTTTGTAGCTCTTTTCTCGTCTTAAACCCTATCATGGCTAGTCTTATGTCTTGTTTTGACTGGGTCTTAGTGTTTGTATATGTAATCAACTATTGTTGCAGGTGTCATTGTGAGGGTGTTTTGGGACTGAGTCACACAGGTTTGCCAT